CTCCGCAGGGCGCGTTCTGCCGCCGGCCCTCGGGGGTCGCTTAAGATGGCTCCACTGGCGGCGGGGCCTGCCCAGCCTCGCACAAACAACGGCGCTTCCTACAGAGACTGGTTTTTTTTATGCTTTATTTTGCAGTCCGTTTTCGTTCCCCCGCCCCTCCGCGCGGAGCTGAATATCGTGCCCTTAAAAATCCGGGTGGGGTTGGGGGTGCTAAGACCAACTCCGAGAAAGTTGGAAGGGCAGTTCCCCCCCAGAGAGCCTCCATGCGAAACAAGGCCTGAGTGAGCAGTGGTGGTAATCGCAAGTTTGCATTGAGGTCACCCTGTTCCAGTTTTGGGTCCAAAGCGAATAGAAACCACTCTGTAGCGCAGTGTCAGAGACTGGAAGCGGCTTTGCTAATGGGCTGATGTTTCATTGTGTCACTGGTATCTCTTAAATTACCTTTGGCTTTTACCAAGTTGCTTGCTGCTCCCCGAGCTGTGGCCTTTAAATCAGTACTCCTCCTGAGCAAAATAGTTGACTAAATTCCCTCCAGTGCAGGGGCAGGCAGTTATTTCAGTCAGAGGGCCACTTATTGAGTTTTGGCAAGCCATCTAGGGCAGCATGACAGGCAGCCAGGGGCAGATTAATATTAATTTTCTAAATCTTTTAGGGGCCCCACAGGCCGGATAGAAAGGCCTGGCGGGCTGCATTTTGCTCACCCCTGCTCCAGTGAAAAATGTTCTGAACCCCGATCCCTTCAGGAATTAACCCGGAGGTCCTCTGGCCTGTGTTTTCCAAGTGGTCAGGCTAGATTATTATAATAGTCTGTTCTGACTTTATAACTTCCAGTTTTTTTTAATTAAATGTTTAGAGAGACTTTTTCTAACATGCTTTTTTTTAAAGAAAGGACCAGTCGCTCTACATAATGCAGGTCCCAAACCCCAGTCAAGGCAGTGGGTGTGTTGATTAGGCAAGGCATCCTTTTTGCATTTTTTTAAAGTTTCTCTGTATACAGCTAATATGAATCTTTCTGTGGTTTAGGTGAAGTTCAAAAGCTTGCAAAATGTCATCTGTCAAACGCCTTGTATATGCAGTCATCCATTTCCTGAGAGAACAGAGTCAGCTGGATACTTTCACTTCAGATGAACAAGAAAGTTTGGAAGGTAAGTAATGAAACCATTTATCTATACCAGGGATAGGCAACTCCTGGCATGGGTGCCAAAGTGTGGGTACCTCTGGGTAGATGGTGGGAAAGGGGTCAGGTCTGTGCTGCCACAACAAAGATTGGACCCCTCATGGCTCCCACACCATCCGCCCCTGGCACCAACATTTTACGAGTTGAGGTTGCAGGTGTTTTTGGCACTCTACCCAAAAATGTTGCCTACCCCTGATCTATATGCTAGGTTGCTTTCCTGTCACAATATATATGTCAACCAATGGGAATGAATTATACTAATTCTTCATGTTGGCTGTGATGATACAAAGATTATATTTTGTTTCTTGTGTGTCAGAAAAGCATCGTTGTTGATCAAACACAATAATCTATATCTTTATCCTGTATAGCAGGGGTGGCCAAGGGGTGCCAAAGGGGCATGGGCAGCCTCTGTGTATGGCATGCAGCAGATTGGGGATGGGACGGAAGTTGGAAGCAGAACAGCAAATTGGGCAGGAAGCACAGGGACAGAAGCAGAAAGCAGAGCAGCAGATCAGGCAAGGTAAGGGATTGGAGTGGCACTTTAATGGTGAGAGTGCAAGGCTACTTTGTGGCATGTCTGCCAGAAAGGTTAGCCCCCACTGCTTATGGAGGATAATATTCTCTCATTCTGCTGATCTTTTGCCAGTTATGGGCCAGAAATTGGAGAAGTTTGGGTTTCACAAAATCTGAAGAACGTTGTGAAATGTTTTAGAATATTTCTTATTAAGGAGAGGAGAAAACAAGGTTTTTTGCCTATTTTCCTCCCCCCCCCTGAAATAGGTCAAGATCTTAAATACCTTCAGGGCTCTTTATTCTAATATTTGAATAGATCTTAAAAGTTTCTACAGTTATGGATTTTGTTTTACCTTATTCTTGAGCATCAGATATTTTAAAATCCACTGAAGAATCTAATTAGGTATGCTACAGTCCTGTCCATTGAGGATATTGCCATGTCTTCCTCAATTTATAATTACCTGGTTCCTTTTCTCTCAGGTTTCATTCCCAGTTTGTACATGCTTTCATCCTTTAAAAAAGCACTGAAGAAAAACAGTGCACTGTTTATATCTTTGGCAACTATTATTGGGTTATAAGAGAAGTAACAATGCAGAAGGCAGTTAACAGTGATTCCAAATACCACACAGTGGTGAGGACTCTGGACAAGTATCTTTTGTCTTCTTAAAGGGCTCTGAAAGTCTGCAGGTTGTGACTGGTATAACCCTCCCATGCTGACTCTTTACACAGTATTAGAATTTGATTTAGTAGGTCTGTGCATAAACCACATTTAAACATATAATCCAACCACAAATTTCTTTTATGCATAAACAACTTCTTGAGCATGATTTCTGCTGAATGGGTTCTGTAATAATATTATTACTTTTGCAGATAGAAAATATTTTGTTCAGCTTGTTTCCAAAACATGTTGAAAGATTTAGATAAACAGCAATATTCAAAATATTCAGTACATTTGGTAATTATTAAGTAACTATGTAAATTAAAAATATACCAATGTCTTAGGAGGACCTTTTTTCAGGTGATGCCAAGAAAATGACTTATTTATATTTCCAAAAATAAATAAATATATATATATATCTTTTTCTCCTCCATAATTTTATTTTTAATTTATAATAAGGTTTATACATTTTGCTGTTTAGTAGCTAAGAAGGATTAACTGATTATTTGATATGTATTTTGGTTATAGTTTGTGAGAGACAAATGAACCAGCATTTTACATATTTTTTTTATGAACAAGTAGGGATTACAATACTTCTAATGACATGTAAATTATCAAATTTCAAACCAAGCACTTTCACAATTGAGGGTCTTAATAGAGACATGAAATCCTAATTTTAGTAAAGCATGCTGACAGAAATATGGTACCATATGCTTCATTATACAGTATACAGCATCTGATCCAATCTAATCTGAATAGCTATCCTTTTTTTCGCTACAGAAGTTAATTTTATCTCAAGTTACATCAATTTTGAACCAAATCTTGCCCAAGAATGTGGGAATAGGTCTTAATGAAGTCAAATGTATGCCTAAGTGAGGAAAAAATTGGGTGTATGCTTTCTGTGGGTATGTTATGTACCTTGCAGATGAGACTGTAAAGCAAAAACACTCCCCCAACTCAATTTAAACCATAGGTGGGGGGAAATCCACCATTGAGAGACTTTCTTGAAATAGAAGTACCATGTGCTTTTCAAAAAACATTTCTATCGATAACCTGCATCCTAACTGAAGACCGTTTTAGGTGGTAAGTGAAGGTTATTCCAGTGGTAAGGGGCAGTTTTATAAAGGGTGAAATTTACAGTCTGTTGTGATGGACTACAGGGTTTATTATAATATTTTCGTATTAACCGTGTCCATTACTACTGTGTCTTTGCTCTTAACTAACTTATACAGGGGAAAAGAATGGGTTTTAAAGACAGTGAAGCCAGAGTTTCTGGCCTACTTCACAAAAGACACGTCCATCAACAAGGACTTGAATAGTTTTTCAATAACTCTCAGGGGGCGTACACAGGAGGGGGGAAATAAATATGACAATAGACACAGTAGTAATGGAAAGAAGGGTCTGAAGGAGAGGGTTAGGAGACATAGAGCAGTGCAGTAGCTTTGGGGCTTCAGAAATTGGGCAGACTGAAAAAAAACAAAGCAATTTTGGGGGGGGATGAACTGGGCTATGTGGGCTGGATTGAGGGCAGAGAAACTGCATAACCCATTGGAAGGGTGAGAGAACCTCTGGCTGGGTTGCCTTTTCCCAGTAAACGCCTTTATTGAAGTGGAACTGTCTGTTTGCTACTTGGAACTTCAGGCTGCACCTGTTCTCTCAAGCACCATAGCTAAGATGGAACAACTGGAGCAGCAGCCCTGAGCTCTGATTTACTGGTGGAGAGAGGCATGGGGGGGAAAAAATAAAAGCTGTTCCTGCAGCTCTATAGCCATGCCAGCAGTTTGGTAGTAGCTGGAAGTCACTGCTGCCTCTGCTTCATTGCTGCTATGGTCCTTATTACAAATCTGTGTTCTTCCTGCATAGGGAAAGGGTGAGGGACTAAAGGCCACAGGTTCATGGTGAGAAGGAGCTAGGGCTCTGTCCTGCTGTAGAAGCCTTGCCTGGGCTGGTCTTGGGATGAGAGGCGTCGGCACGCTTGGAGACCAGACAATGCTGCAGTGGTCCTAAGTAAGCACTGCCCTTACCGGGGACTCTGACATCTGATCAGAGAGATTAATTGGAAGGTGGCCTGGATCCATAATCCAAGGTCCCTGTATCCTGTGCAGCCCCCTGTAGTGGATTCTTTAGTCTCCAGGCTGATTAGTAGACCTTCTCCCGTACAGTTTTACACATTGTTACAGCTGCCATTGCTTTTCTGGTCATTGCAGCCTTTCATTGGTGGTCGTTAACACCAGACCACCTGGGATTGAAGTGCAGACATCTTGTACAGTGCACAGTGGTACAAGCAGTGTCTGACACTGGTAGGTTTTCCCAGCACACAGTGATTCAGGTGCTGCTCTGGCCTTAGAGAAACTCATCCTGATGCCTAAGGCAGTGGTCCTCAATCTTTTTAGATTCAAGGCACCTCTGGAAATGTCAACTCATAGTTTTCACTCTTTTTGACTACAGAAAAATAACTGAGTAGCTCTTCTGTTACAAATAACTCAGAAATGCCATAACTGTGGATTTCTTTTTGAAGTCTCTGGGTTTATTGTGCAAATCCTGTTTGCAAACCTAACAGTGCTAACATTATGTGGCACCCCACAGCACCCTTGAAAGGGGCTCAAGGCAACCCAAAATGCCATGGCACCCTCAAGAATCAGTACTTCAATAATGGCTTATTATGGTATGACAAGCCTTGCCTGACATTCTGCCCTGGGACAAATTTCAGCTTATGGCAATCGGTAGATGCCTACCATTCGGCAATAGGAAAGGGAATAAGCAGCCACCTGCTCTAGATTGAAAAACAAACTACTTGTACTGTACATAGTTGCATCTTGGCCCACTGATTTCATGGAACCAGGATTTCACCATAATTGTTTTTGTACATTAGAAGAACATATTTACAGTACATTGTCAGGTGATCAGTGTCTCCCACCTTGAAGATGCTGCTTCTTTGATTTTGTTTACTTTTTTTGTAGTCATCTGTTTTGCCCACCATTTATGCAGCAGCATGAGACTTATCTTGTGAAATACTATAATTCTTTTTTACTGATTTGTCCCATAAGGGTACTTATTTTTGCTAAACTTGTGTAAAGGAATTAGAAGTATTCAGACTGTGTTCAGTTTTTCAATTAAATGGGAAATGTGGGAACTGCTATAAGAACCAATTATATCTACCATGGAAATGTAGTCTGGTATTACAAATTCTGTTATGATCTCCAAGGATTTTTTGTTGAATCATAATTTGATCTTTGTTACACTTTCCAGAAATCGTTCCTCCAAAAAAGATTAATAAAATACAAGGAGTTGGGAACTATAGACTTAATATCTTTCTGCCAAAATGTCAGAAAATGAAAAATGAAACTGTAAAGATCTGTTTTGCAGTGTGGCTTCTGTTCCTGAAAGAATGAAACATGAGTTGAAGTATTCAAAACAGGGAATGTTTGGGTATTAAAAATAAGTATGATGGATAGAGGAAACCTTGATTTTTAAATGTGTGATGGGAAATGCTTTCTAGTAAGTTCTTAGGAGAAACTGGATACTAGATTTTGTTGATTCCTCAGACATTACAACACTAATATTAACACATTTCATTGTATTGTTAATTGATTTTTGTTGGTTTTCCACAGAGGATGAACTACGTTGAAATTCAGTGGGATAATGTATTTTTCTTTCACCTCAAAAGATTGTAATTGAAGTCTGAAATAATTGGCTTGATGGTCCCCTTTATTTCATTGGGAGGATGAACGACACTCAGTTTACCACAGTTTTGTTTTCTTCATGGATAATGTCAGGAAGAAGAATAAAACCTACATCCTACATTATTCTTCTAGAATAAAAGAGGACCCTAGTAAATATGTTATTTTTCTAACATTGCAGAACACTGCCTGAAATAGAACCATGACACTGGATGTCCACATACTGTCAAATATTTGCCCCCTAATCTTAAAATAAAATAATTAAACTCCCTCTGTAACATATGTACAAATACTTACACATTTTGGGGACTTCAATTCTATGTGCAATTCTAGTGACTTTGATGGAATGGTTTGCATGAATAAATTCCAAGTGTTCTTAAGTATCTTCAGGTTCCTTCCTTCCTTCCTCCAATCACTTCTTTGGATCCTTATATGGACCATCAGTGGGACATTATGTGACCAAATGGACTTTGCAGGCAGTTTTCTGTGCAGGATACAAGCCTGTGACTAATGAAGTAGCTTATTTGTCAGCAGGTCTTTGGTTTGTAATATAAAACGTATACTTTTGAAAACAGTAAGGATTACTTAAATATTTTCATTTTAGATTTGGCTTGTCCTTTGTCATTTGGCTTGTCATCTGATAAATATGAACCCTTTAATGCTAAATATAGAAATACCTAGGTTTTTCTGTATGGCTATGTTTTGTATTGCCAAGTAATATGGCTACTGCATACCTTAGTCTGTCTTATTTATTTTAATTTACTTAATCCCTCTATGTTAAAAATGAAAAAAAATCAAAAGCAAGTGAGCATTAAAAGAAATTCAGTTTGATTAGGTAAGGAATTAAGTGTGGTAAGAGAAATGGGTGTAGGTTATGGGTAGGCAAACTTTTATGGCTGGGGGGCCGAGTGACCCATGTCAGAAGTGGGCATGAGCTAGGACCCAGCCACTACTGCCACTTGTCCCCATGACAGCCTGGAAAGAGCATCCACACCTGACACTTGTCCCTGTGGTGGCTTTGTGAGAGAGCCCTTAGCTGATGCTCCACATCCCTGGCTGGATCCAAGGGTTTTGTTGGCCTTATCTGACCTGTGGGCCATAGCTTGCTTGACCCCCTGTTTATAGACCACTGATTCTCAACCAGGGTGCCACAGGTGTGAAGAGATAAGCAAATAGGACACAGGCTCAGGCTGGACTGTACCTGGCCACTTTTCTGATTCTACTTCCTGCCCCCTCTGCAGGGAGGTAAGCACTATAATAAATCAATTACTCTCTTAAATGGGGAGCTGCTCAATTCACAAAAATTATGGAAGTGTGCAAGTCTACAAAGATTGAGAAGCATTGGTATAGACATTATGCATCATCTGCTACTCTTGCCCACAAGAGAGACAGTTAAAGAAGGAAGGCTTTTGATTTTTTTTGTTTTGTTTTTTCTTTTTACTAAAGACCTGGTTCAAATAACTGTTTGATTTTTTTTTTATTTTTATTTAAAAATAGGCTTAACAAGATAACTAAGATGGCAAGAGTGATTCATACTTTTAATTACACTACTTGTATTTATATTTTTGTGTTGAAAACTTCGTGATTTGTAATAATGCTGTCATCTCTTTTCAGTTGCGATTCAGTGTTTGGAGACCGTTTTTAAGATTAGCCTAGAAGATACTCATCTTGCAGCACCTCAGCATTTGATAGAGATGTTCACAAATTCTTTTCACAAGGTAAGAATTTAATTTAATCTTCCTGAGTTACTTTTTTGTTAGCTGATTAAAGTTGTGAATGTGTATGGACTCTTAAAGTGCTATATAGGTCAAAACAATGTAGAAACCTGAAAGAAATGATCAAGTGAAATTCCCATGCAAGGCAGGAAAACAGGATAGTTTTAGGACTCTGACAGGAAATAATTTGTTAGTGAAAGTACAACTGCGTGTTGTAATGTGTTACTAAAAAAGAAGAGATCTCGTTCTAACATGAAAGCTACTTTCCCTGAGTGACATTCAGACATGTAACAATTCCTGAGGCTGTCTTTTCTAAATTGCTTGAATTGTGTGGTCCTTGTGACTTGATTTGCTATGGAGAAAATCTAGTCTCATTTTTAAGGCATGCCCTGTGAAGTCTATACAAATTGGGCCTAAAATCTGCTTTCAAAGTTCAAACTATTAAAATTTATGAAAATGTCAAATATAGGAAGAATGTGCAGAGGAAATAATTATTTTTCCTTAAAACAATTAAGGAAGAAGAAAATAAGAATAAAAGGCATAAGAAGAATATTCCTGTGTTTTCCTGAGGTTCTTTCCCATTAACTGATTTAAGGTTGTGAATGCACTATGGAATCTTAAAGTGCTTTACAAATCAAAACAATGTGAAAACCAAATAGAAAGTAAAATTCCCATTAAAGGCAGGAAAACAGGATAGGTGTGGGACTCTGACAAGGAGAGAACCACCTTATCTTTGAATGTACTAAAATGATTATTTACCAGCTTAAGGAAGAATGGTGGAATCTCTAAAAAAAATTTGTACCTTTCCCCAGAAGGATGGTCACTGGTCATATTGTAATGGGGCCTGCCCTTGAATCTGACATTCTCTCTTTTTAATGTGTACAGAATGACTTGCTGCCTCTCTCAGATCCTTTGCCAGAAGATGTTGAAAAGGCTGACCAGCTGAAGGATGAAGGTATGCAACTAATAAAGGAGTAACTGTTTCTTGCTATTGTTTTTACTTTGTTTTGTTTTTTGGGGGGCTTTGGTGGGGGGGTGGGGGTTCAAGTCATAGATGTGTTGGCATAGTACTGTTGGAAGCAGTTTTGCATCTGGGCCACACAACTCCCACACAAACCTGGGCTTTTTTAGGTTATGACCTTGTAGTCATAAAGACATGATTAACATTTCATACCTTAGTAACAGAGATTCTTATCAATTACTGGATTTTGAACACATTACAGCTTCCAGTGTTTGCCAGTTCAGTTCAGCCTATGGCCTGTGGGCTGGATCTGGCCTGCAGAGGTTGGGGCTTCAACAGTAGGGGGTTTCAGTGATGTTCATCAGCTGGGGGACTTTTCTTATGCTGCGTGCATTGTTGCCAGGTGGCCAGAAGCTTTGCCCATGCTGTCTCTGGGTGGCAGGGAGAAGCAACAGTGGCAGTGGCTGGGTCCAAGTACTGACCCTCCTTGAACTTGTGCTAAGTGATACCAGCCCACACCACCAGGAAAGGTTGCCAACTGCTGCTATGTATTATGTTATGGGTTATATGACAGTTTGAGTATAAAAGATACTGGGTAACATATTGGCCCTACTGAAGTTAATAGCAAAGCTTTCATTGAATTAATTAGGTTGGGATGTTTCCCCTATTATATAAAACAAAGTTTTACAATGATGAGAAAAATCATGGTAAAATAATTACTTCCCCACATAAAGTGCTTACCTCTGTAAAAAAAATCCATGTCAAGGTTCTTTTGCACTGGTCTAATTTAAAACCATAATTTGATATGTATTTGATAGGCTCTAGTACTGAAAGTGAGAAAAGGCTAACACCAGTAACAAATATGCAGAACATGTTGGCTGAATGCTTTGTACTATATTTTGAATAAGCATTTTGATGTCTGGATGTTTATTTTTCCATATAAAACTCTAATTAATATGTTTTCACATTTGGAAAGAGGAAATCTCTCTGGGAAAATATTCAGTATAATAAAACGGGTAAAAAACCTGGCTAGTTTTCAAAATGAGCTTAAGGTTTCTCTATTATTTTAAATGGTCAACTGCAGCTGTTGCAGATGACAAGGAATAATGTTTTCAGCTGCTGGCCTTACAAGGTATACTTAAAACAAGCTTTGGTAGGTGATGAAGTGGGTCATTAACCTTTCACTTATATAGATATGAGTTCAAACCTGGTTAGGTCTGCGCCCACCTCCGCTCGATCAGGCGCTCTCGGGTTGCTCTAGCCCGAGTGGCCGTTCTCACTGGGCCCCGGGAGGTGCCTCGGGTGGTGACGGGAGACCCCCTAACCTCGCCTGCCACGACTTTGAATGTAACTTCAGTGGTGGGGG